GAAGGAACCCTGAATGTATTAAGTTGATTTCTTGGCAAAGAACATGGCCCGTAGGAAGATTCTTAGTATTTCATGGTAAAATAGGTGGACAATATCAGTAGATTTGGAGTTTTTGGAAGGGAAATTGTGGCAATTTATCTTCCCTGAAAGGTAGAGGTGACATAGGTAGGGTCAGGGGTTGACTCCTTAGACTGGGGAAAAAAATAAGTAAACAAAGAATCAGGGCTAGGAATTTTACAGAGAAAAGACAAAAACAGCTAAGCTTATGAAGGGAATATTTGGGACATCTCACTGAGGAAGAGGAGAATTGGTAATACACTGCATTCTACCTAGCACAGAATCAAGAAAAAAATTGATGTTGCTGAATGGATACATATGGTTGTGATTTTTTAAAAATCTCACAGTATTCAAAAAGTACAGCGACTTACATGTACAGTAGATACTGGGTGTAAATAGAATACATGTAGATATATTTGAGACAGAGTGGTGAAGATGTCCTTATTAAAATAGGTAATAATAGGTAATAAATACCTTAGCTGTGCTTTTATTTGGAATGATATGTGTGTGTTTGCTGCTTTCTCTTCCTTTCCTGTAACTAAGCGACCTTGTTAGTGTGTCAGAGATTACTTATCACTTCTTTCCAAGATAGTTGATGTGAGAAACACATTTCTGAGTTTAATAGTTGCATTATCTTTTTTAGTTTGCTGAGTTTATTTTCTAAGTTAGTTGCATTATTTTTTTAAAAAAATATGTGTGGATATGTGTATGAGAGTGCACACGCATGCACTCTCACACACAATGCAGTAGTCTTGGTTTTCAACTTGTGGTTGAGTTTCAATTCATATAGTTGAAGCCAAAATACGCAGAATGAATCTTGTTGAAAAAGGCTGGATTAAGAAGTATTTACATTTGCTTTTGTGATCCAATAGGTTTTCTCTGCCTTTGTATATTGCCTATTGCAGGTGGATGGCCAATAAGCTTAAATAAAATAAAAATTGTTGATCACTGGTAATCCTTCCTGTTCCTTCTTCTGTTTATATGCTAGACAATGTAAGAGGGAAGCCCTTTAATAACAAAGATGCTGGGTATATTTTCCAGTATTTTTGTTTTAACAAGGATAGTTTTGTTTTAGACCTTGAATCAAGGTAAATGATAGTCATTCTTGACGAGTTTCATGCCAGTGCTCTTTCCATTAGCTTCCAGGACCTAGGAGAGCTAATAATAATTTCTGCATTGTAAAAATTAATTAGTTCTGCAGTCATTCAATTCTCAGGCATGATTAAGGATGGCCTAATGACACTGTAGCAGGAATTGCTGCAGTTTTGAACTGGCCAAGAAAACATTCCAGAAGCCCCAGTTTGAATTTGGTGGGAAAGATGAGAAGTGTTTTTCATAGGTATGTTGAATAACAGAAAATGGAGAAAAGGAGGCCCTTGTCAGAGTGGAGCTAACATACCTAAAGTGAAGTTCAGCCTAACAGAAATAGCATTTAGAGAAGCAGTTGGGTATAGTTCAATTACAGTGCATGTAAAATTAAATCAACAAAATGAGTGGAAAGAGGAAAACATAGAGAAATTACAATTTAAATGTCCCTGTGGAGAAGGGTGCAGGTTTTGAGCAGGCTAGGCAGCATACTTAGGAAAAAAGCCGTTAAAAAGCCAAGCACAATGGGCGACAAGCAGGAGGAGATAGGCTTCCCAAGAGCTGCCTTGTTTTGTCTGGAAGTAAGCCAAAACATAAGATCTGATATTAAATTAGTACAGAGGCTCTGGAACTCAGACACTGTGCTATTAACTAGAATTTTCTTATCAAGGGAATAAAGAACTTTTGGCTTTGTTTTTCACATCAGCAGAAAAAAGGGTCAATTTGCAACGCGGATTCCTGAAGTATAAAGGAGCAGTTTTCCAAAATGATGAGGATAGGGCCACTTATCTAATGGAGGATGCTTTGACCCTCTTGTAGGGATGACTTCCCTGGTTGCCCCTATATGGATCAATAAAATACTTGCAAGTGTGTTTGGATAAAGTTGAGCTGGCATCCTTCTACCCCAAAGACTGCTGGTGAGAAACAAAATTCACATTTTCTGCAGAATCTTATCTTGTCAAATTCAGAATAAAGAATCAATTGTTCTGTGTCATATCTTCTGAAGATAAACCAAATCAGGATAGGAAACTTATTTTCTGACACTTACAAAAATGATTCGACTATGGGAATGAATAATATTCAGGGAAGAATATATCTGTATGAAGTAAATTTGAAGGTGACATTCACAATTCTCACCTCACATCAATAGAATTAAAATCGGAAAATGTGCTGGATATGTTTACATAGTAGAGCTGTTTAGTTATTAAGAGGCTGTCATTTCTGACTTGTTCCAAATAAAAAACATCTTCTGGGCTTTAATAGTTTGTTGAATTTGTCAAGTTTTGTTCCCTTTGCACAGTTTCATTTTCACAGATTAACTAGGAAAGAAATTGAATTTATGTAGAAGTGAGAGGTCTTTTCTGTCTTTGAAAACAGAAAACCAGGCCCTGAATTTAAATGTCAGAATAGCCAAATGCATCAAGATTGGTTTCTATTTGTTTCTTGAAGGGATGAGCAAGGTAGAAGAGAGTGACTTGTCTTTACTAACACAGTAGAGAAAACCAGGATTAATAGACACTGCAGCTATATGGGGACATAAGTGGTATCTAATTGGCTGAAAACCATCTTCATTAATTATTATTGATACTCTTGCCTTTGCTGATGGGTTTTCCAAAATAAAAGCAGAATGATTAGAAACAAGTGCCTTTTTGAAATATGTGAATACTCTTGTGGGAAATGCTAGATATTCCAGCGACTGGGCTGAGAAAAGCCACACAAGTATTCCTGATGTTTTACTTCTTTTCTATTTTGCAATAGAGTCCTCCTAGCTTTGCAAACAATTTCCCAAATCCCACCAATCTACCCATCAATGTTAACATTAATGAGAAAGGCCTAACACATTATATAGTTGATTCCTCTGACTGGAAACCATGCTTGTCATGTACAGCTCACTTCTTTCATTACCGAAGGGAAGGAAGGAACTTTCCAGTGGGGATGACTTAGTGTGGAAGAGGTCTTTTGGCCAGGCCAACATTCCTATGAACTTGCTCTGTTGCTTATGCCAGCTTTGAATAGAAGAGTCCCATAAGTATAATACTTATCTTCATTTCATTTTATCTTTAGCTTAATATTCAACTCCCCATATAATGTTGCAGCAATTCAATATTCAGGGCAGAAGCACGGGGATAGACCACTAGTTCAAACTTCAGATCCTACATACAGGAAGTTGGCATGCTGTAAAAGTGATTAATGCAGTTTGAATTCAATTAGAGTGATGTTTTTGAAGACTGCTGGGCTAGTGGGGGTGGCAACAGTATGGTTATGTTGATTACAGATTAGTTGTGGCACAGATGGATTAAAAGTGGAGAGGGCGGCAGGGAAATAGGAGCAGAAACACAAACCTCCTTCACCAAACTGCCACACAGATCAGAATCTCTGATCACAACTGTCAGGAATTGTGAGAAGAGAACTGTGTTGAATAAGTCATAGTGATATATCTCCTTAATCAGTATTGAACCAGAATAATATATGGACTTATAGAGACAGCTGGGCTCCCTGATTGTTTCAGAGGCTCTTATTTATAGTTTGTTAATTTGAGTCACAACCTACTAACACTCCAGTTTTGTTATAGAGGTCAAATTTATCAATTCAGTTGGACAACATTAGAATTCCGGAGTACCTGAAGTGGGAGGCAGCTAATGTAAATTGTCCTTTACTAAAATCAAGTTATTATGCTTTACCTCAGTCTGTCCAGAATGCTGATCAGGACCATTGTATTATTTTCAGTGCATGTTCTCTTGCAATGAAAACAAAACAGAGGAAGAAATTGCTGATTGTTGTAAAAACTCCTTGTGCTTTATTTGAATCTTATGACTGGAAAGGATCTGGATCTAGTTGAAATGTATAGTGAGGCAGATTTCTATCTCCCAAACAATCCTATCACAAGCTATTTAGTTGAAAAATACTATGGCTTTGGGAAGGGCTATTGTATGTTGTTGCCAACCAATTGCATACATTATTTTTTATGGTTTCCTTCTAACTTTTTGGGGGGAATGTATTTGTGGTATTTTTTCAATGTAAAATTCAGTCACAATGTATGCAACTAAAATATTACTGAGCCTTTTTAGAAGTGCTAAGTCTTTGATTAGAAGCGTTCTCCTTGTAGTTTCTATCATTAATATCTTTCTTTTGAGCATCTATACATCCATACTAATTAAGTGCCTCCTTGTCAATTGTTGTTTTCTGCAGGGAGTGATGGACTTAAATTACCAATGTACTTTCCTTTTTAATTATGACATAGGTAAAGGTTGCAATTAAAAGAAACAGTGAAGAAAAACCATATTTTTTGCTGAGCAGGAAGCAGCAGCAGATGCCATGAATTATTATTATTAGAAGTTGCAAAAGAAAGCTTCTAAGTGAAGTTGCAGATCAGCCACCCCTCCCCAATTAAACTGGATTTACTTTAGAATAAATATGAAAGAAACATCATTGGATAATATATTGCTATATTAAATGACTTTTTATTCTGTTACTTTATTATGGAGAAAGATTGCTTTAGTAGTGCTATATAGTTTCTTAATCTGAAGAGTTAACTGATGGTATGAAGAGTACAGTGAGAGATGTGTTATTACAGAGGTGCCAGGAAAAAAAGAGTAGTAGAGAAACAACTAGGTTTTGAGCATTTGTCGGAAGACCAGCAGGATCAGGGCCGGGGCCAACCTTATTTTGGGTGGCATGATGGTTCAGAAAAGCAACAAGTGCTCCGTGCGTTTGGGGATATGAAACATCAGAAAAATTTTAAGGTTTTATAAGGTTTTCTTTCTCTTAAATCAAATCCATAGTGCTTGGGGGAGGAGCAAATTGTATTATAACCGTGGACTTAGCCCCTGATCTTATTTGTGATAAATTTGTTTTAGGTGCTGATTCTTGCTGATGGGGATACAACAGGATTCCTCTACCATCAGCTTGGTTTCCTCTCCTCTCTGGAAAAGAAAGATGGAAAAGCTACTGCTTACGTCTGTGAAAATTTTACCTGCTCACTACCTGTCACCTCCAGCCAGGAACTACGTCGCAGGTTGCTGTCCTAAATTAATGCATGTTGCTGTCCTAAGTTATTATCCTTGGTAGTCCTCAGATTGCAATAGATTTGAGAAGGAAGAGGCCAACATTGGCAGTGTGGATCTTAACAATAAAATCATCTTCAGTATAAGCTGGCCCAGGGTCAATTTAGTTTGCCTCCCTCTTGTTTTAATAGCATCCTCTTCCTTATCACAGGAATATGCACATTCAGTTGTCTTGAAATGTATTTATTATTTGAGGACAAGGCAATGTGTCTTAAGGGGATTTGCAACCTGCATTTTCAAGATCCTGAAGACTGAAGTTTAATTTAAAATAAGACAGGCATTTGATTTCTGTGTAATCTCAGTTCTTGTGATGCGATAGAGCTTTGAGAACAATGTTCATTCTCATATGCTGTATAGAATCAGAATTTAGACCACTACAGTCTATTCTTTTAGATACAAAAGACCCAGGTTTTTTTTTTGACCTCTTTATGTTTTGTTTTTGGTTTTCGAAGGAAATAGTAGGCTTCTTTGCCTTTACTCCTCAGAGTAAAGGTTCTAGGGATGAGGATCCTCTGCTTATTTGATGTTAGAGAAGAACTCTTATCATCTTTGTGTCTTTCTGTAGACATGTTATAAATACTTTTTATTCAAATAAGATTTTACAAAGATTTAAAAAACTACAAAAACATAGAAGAAATATAAAAGGGAAGATTATAAAGAGGTCAAAGAAAAAGTAAAAATAACAAGAAGAAAAAGTAACCTAAAGAAGCAACTTCCAATCTTCTTTGCAGCAATTACAAAGATAACAATGGGCATCTCCACCCTCCCATTTTGCATATCTAGAGTTCTTTTCTTCCTATAAACAAATCTTTTTAATCAATAAATCTCAAAATTAGGAGTTTTTTTTCCATTTCCAATAAAAAAAATCTACAAAAAGTTTCAATCTTTTTCCAGTAGTTGTAGTTCCATTCTTAATCAAACAAGTCAATACAGCCATTCACAAGCCAATCCTCAATTGTTGGTGTTTCTGTGGTCTTCCATCTTTGTGCATATAACTGCCTTGCTGCAGTTACCATATATAGTTCCAGTTGTCCATGAGCTGATAGACATTGTGTGCACCCGTGTGTGTATAATAAAACAATGGTTAAGAAAAGAGTCACCAACATAAATATGCGCAGCAAATCAGGATTACCACAAAATGACATCACGCAAATGATATTATGATGCAAACTTTATCTGTGTATACTTGCATCAGATGTTGTGATAAACAATTCCACTTAGGTTTGCCTCCTCATCCCCTGCAGAAACCTCTGATTACCAGATATCTCCATCCTGCTCTGTGGCATTAGCAGCAAGCCTTGATTGTACCAAAATAACCTAATGTGAAAAGTGATATGAAAAATCCCTCTCTATGTATCTTGATTGACACAAATGCACTGTTGTGGGTTGTGCTTGATGGCACATGTCTTTGTTATGTATGTACACACACACACACACACACACACACACGCACATCAGACACCTGTCTGTTCCTGCCCTATTTTAAACTTCCAGAAGTATCATGACTTCATAAGTGACTCTTATGAATCAAGATTCTCCTGTGACAGATACTTCCAGAAACATTTAAAAACTTGTATTGTCCTACTCTACTGTTGAAAAGGAAGGTTGCGTTTATACATACTAGTGTACATGAAAAGTGGGGACATGAGATGAAAAGAATATAACTTAAAAGTACTCAAAATCTATACAACTATATCACTCAGGTTGTTATACAATTCAAGAAACTGGCATGAAAAATAATGTTTCCATTTTCAATTTTAAGAGAAAAACAAGTTTCATGTTTTAAAAAAAAGTGATAAAATGTTTCATCCAGGTTTATTTTAATTTATAACAGTAAAAAATAGAATTTAATAAATAAGTTTACAAGGCTCATAATAGCCAGTAATTGCACTGCTATTATTATCCTGCCAAAGTTCTAAACTTCCTAATAATCTCTCAAATTCACTATAAATACCCTAAAAAGTACATTAAACTTGTATTCATCTTAGGTATAATTAGATTAATTTGAATATTTTTATTAATTCAGGGTTATGAAATGGTTTTGCTATGTTATGTGCATTTTAACATTACAAGATCAATCCTAGATGGTGAGAAGGACCAATTATTCAGGACAGCTGTTTCTGTGCAGCTAGGAAATGTGTATTTTCACATAGCATCATTAATGATCTCACTGGGGAAGTTAAGCCTACTTTTGCACTTCCTTCCCTTTTAATCTCCTTCATTGGATGGCAATGATAGAGTCCTCAAGGTATCTTGGGATTAACTGCTCCCTAAATTTACACCCAGCAGCTTATGTCTACTTATGATCCAAGAAGTTGCCTCTTGATACACCAAGTCAGGATGTCAGGAAAGGGGAATGAGGTAATAGACTCTAATGAAAAATCAAGTCATTATTTCTTTGGATGAGGAATTGTGTTAAGCGCTGCCAAGGCCATTTCATGTTGACAGTTCCCCACTGATGAGGAAAGAGACATTTCAACCAGAATTCAACAAAAAAGAGCCAGAATGAGCTGATGTGGAAGCCAAGAAACTTTGCTCTTGGGCAGAATCACATTTACTGCTGCTCTGGCTGCTCCCTATTGCCATGTCACAGCAGTAGAAGCTGAATTATTCAACGCTTGCCTATTGTGGAGCTAAATCTGTCTCCATCCAAGCAGCACTCTCATTCCTTTTCATTTTCCTGTCTCAGTTAGGCAAGGAGCTGCCAGGTATCAATCTGTTTTCCTGTGCCAAATGCCACAATGAGTGAAGAAGTGAGGTACTAAATGTGTCTTTCTGGAAGGAGTGGTGACACTGGAATGCTTTCAGGCCATGCAAAACTCCTCCATATTAATTACTCGTAAATACATTCGAATGAGGGCATTTCCTACATTTAGGACATTTTCTTCTCAGTTTTAAGAGTGTGTAGTAAATACTTAGCAGAGCAGCCACATGTTTGGAAATATTCAGTGAATGCTAACAAGTTGCATGTTGAGTAGAGGAATAACTAAATTCAACCAATTATCTTCTGAAAACTCCCCTGTTTGGTATGACTTTGAACTTGGCTTTCTTGTAAGGCATTGCAGAGAAATGTATGATGTAATGGTGTGGATGAAGTCCTCCGACACATAGGAAGAATGCAGCGGTAAAACCCTCTCTTTGACTAAGTACATCCTGTGGTTCTGCTTATGACTGCCTGTTTCACAGACTGTTTGCTGTGACTAGAAAACCACAGCAAAGAAGAAAAAGGGAGTCTTGGGGGATTGGGTTGATTTGGTTGTTAAATCCAGCTCTACCATAAAGTGAATATGGTGTGTTAATGTGTGCAATAGGGTGCATTTGGTGGATATCCGGTTGGGAAGTTCTGTCAATCCTGTCATCGGATTGGCAATTTCACCTATGCCAATCTCCATAGGTAGAGAGCTACCAGCCAAGCAACACCAGAGAAGCCTTTGTGCAAGACCGAAAGAGCCATTTGGAACAAGGAGGCGTGATTGCGTAAAGCAGAAGTGCTGGCTGTGCACTGACAGTGATGGATAGATTTAGTTATGGGGTCGCTTGACCCTGCTGCTATTCCTAGCAGTAAATTAGATAATTGCACTTCCAGACCCGATAGGAACCGTTTCATTCTCTGCTGTGACAGTTCTCTCATCAATTTTTCTTTTGACAAGGGGCTTCATCCCAGCTACAGAGTCAGCCTATACACCTTCCTGTATATTCCTCGGCTTATGGCACAATCAAGTGTTAAAATAGGAAGAGTGGGACGTTCGGCATCATTAGCAGGGCTGGTGCTGACACTGAGGATGCCCCAAAAACCACAGGATGCTCCCAGAAAGAAAAAAGCACTTCTTATGGCCCCGCAGTAGCTGCGTTTGCAAACGCAAGGATGATTTCTTGTACAAGCATGGAGTGGGAAGAAGAGATCAGATAGCTACAGCTGACTGCACATTAGAGACACTTTAGAACAGCCAACAGGTAAATTAGCTCTTTTCAGCAAAGGAAGAAATATGTCGGGATGCATTCAAATGGGAGAGGGGGCTGGGTGAAGTCAGGGAAAGGAAGTGCCATATTATACAATTGTTAGTTAAGGTTCAGTGTGTTCAAATAAGTGTTAATAAAACATTGCAGTCTTGACCCAAGTGAGAGGTGGCTGTGACTCAGTGGCAGGACAAATGCTTTGCATGTGGCAATCTCTTGTCAGAAAAGACTGGCTATGTTTGGCTAGTCTTAGATCTATTGCACTTTCCTGCTTTCTCATACAAGAGATTTACCTCTATCCCTGAATGGGTTTTTGTGCGTCCACATCTATTTCCATTCTGCTGTTCCATTCTGCCCTTCTCTTGCTGACTTACTTAGCAGCCAGCAGGATATTGAAATGTACATATGGCACCTTTTCTTGGACTCATTGGTAAAATCCAAGCAGGAGCGATAAAAAAGTGATGCATTCTCTTGCCCCCCAAAAATCATTGTGTTCACTCCCCAAACCTTCCAATGTTATGCAGAATTGATTGCCGGGAAGTTTATTTTGTGTGTGTGTGTGTGTGTGTGTGTGTGTATACACACACACACACACACACCAGTATACACACAGATACCAGTAAACACATACCGGTACACACACGCACATACGCACGAACACAGTATACTAGAACATTTTCAATGATATTTTGGACAATGGTACTAGGGTAATGGCCTAATCCTCTCAAATCACATCTAAGTTTTCATACTCCCATAGAGCAAAATCGATATCATCTTCTGTCATCTAAACTTTGCATCAGTACATTCCGATTGGGACGTTATTCCACTTGTGGGCTCTCCAAGGGTTGTTTCTAATAAGAGCATGTAAGACTATTCACTAAAAATAGACTTGCCTTTGCTTCCAGAAACCTTAGTCCAAATATTTTTAAACAATGATGTATATTTACCAACACCATTTCTTTTCACAATGTTGTTTTCTTCCATTTTGTTCCCAGCATTAATTTTTCATTGTGAGGTGGTATTTGCTATGGTGGTCCAAATTCATTGGAAACCACAGAACTGTTTTAAAAAAAATCATTGGCATTTAACAATGTTTTTAATAAGAAGATAATAAGGACCAGATAGAATGTGCACATTTTATGATGAAACAAACAAGCGTTAACTATGAAGAAAAACCAGTACTAAACTGTATAAGGCTTAGATACTTTCATTTTTAACAGAAGCAAATATAGACTTGCATGCATTCAGTTTGCAAGAAAATGGGAAGTCCTTGAAAGATTATGTATTTTTTAATATTGCAACAAATACTGTATGTATAATATCCATTATATTCATTTAACAACATTTCTTTAAATAAGTTTGCTTGTGGCTTCCGTTGAAATGTTTTGGTTACGCCTTTGACAATAAAAATTCCCAAGCACTTTGGGTTTTAACCAGTGGTGGGTTTCAAAATTTTTTGGAACCTCTTCTGTAGGTGTGGCCTGCTTTGTGGGAGTGGCTTGCCAGCCATGTGACCAGGTAGGAGTGGCTTGCTGGCCATGTGACTGGGTGGGAGTGGCTTGCCGGCCGTGTGACTGTTTAACTGTTTAACTGTTTATTTAATTTATAAGCCGCCCAATCCCGGAGGACTCCGGGTGGCTTACAGAAACAAACATTGAGAAAAATTAAAAACAGATAAAAACATGACAAATTTAAAAAGACACAACATGCACCCAACTTCAGCGGGGCTGGACCTAAATCCAGAGGTCAACAGCCCCAGGCCTGCCGGAATAGCCACGTTTTAATAGCTTTTTGGAAGGCCATGAGAGTGGGTATG